CACCGCACCGGGACAGCGCCGCCGGCTCGCCGTCCTGTGCGCTCCCCGCCTGCGGGGGCTCCCAAATGAGCTGTCACCCCTGCCCTGCAAAATCAGTTCTTCCTATGAGTGCTGGAGCTGCCCGAATTTTTATAAGAGCCAGGAGACGCAGAGGGGTTTTTCCCGCAAGTCAGGGAGGAGGACAGCATCCATACACCGCTGTACAGAGTGAGCGCACCTGGAGGAGGGAAGGGGGAGCAGTGGCGGATAAGACTGGGGCAATGGTTTCTTCCAGGGAATGTGAGATATCAAAAATTTGTTCTCTGTTTTTCTCTGTGAATTTTAACTTTCAGGTTATTTCAAGAATAAGGCCAAAAGCAGTTAAAGGATTTGGTTACTATAGCAGCCTCTGTTATTTCATGGCCTGGAAATTGTATTTAAAATTGTGTAAGCTTAGTTTGAAATGTGTTGACTTTCCTACGAGAAGAAGGAAATCGCAGGGTAGAGGCTGCACTGAACAGACCAAGATAAAACACTGGAAGTGTCCAGGAAGCTGGACTGAATTTTTCTTCTGTCTGAGCTACACTGATAGGTAAATTTCTTCCGTGATAGCCTGAAGAGAAAACTATTCTAGTTCTGCTTGACTATAAACCTTTTCCTGAGCATCTGACATGCATTCGGCTCGAGTAAAGTAGATTATAATGACAAAATTTTTGAAGGATATCCCAAAAAATTAGGTACTTTTTGTCCTGTGGATGTAGAAAGGTTTAATGTTGGAAGCAAGAAATGAGAAGAACTAAAAATAGTTTTACTTGTATGGATATGCCTGGTAGCTGGAATGATACCAAAGTTATCAGCCAAGTTTGGAAACTGGAGGAAGAATTTCAACGTTTTCATATAGCTGGGGATCTCTCTTTCTGGTTTCCATCTTGTCATCTCTCAAGCAATTTGTCATACTTTAAAGAGCTGACTCAAGAATTCCGATTACTGTAAGCCAGCCCGAAATCTGTATGGGAAAGGAGCAAAGGAAAGGAGAGGACAGAGCATCTTTGGGGTGTGGCAGAAGAGTGGAGAATGAGTTTTTTTGTTGAGGGTTTTTTTTTCTTGCAATCAGCTTGAAGCCTTTTCAGGACATTTCCTCCTTCCCCTGGAGGCTGTATTCTCTCTCCCTTTCTCCCACTCTGCAAAGTTATCTTTGCACCCACATACACATTTACATCCTCATCATCTGGTGAGAGGAGCCCTGAGTTTCCCTTTTACCAGCAGCTTGCACTGGGCTATGGCAACGGCTGACATTGCCTGTGCTTGGAGCTGGCCTCCTCTAAACAGTAGAGATGGGAACAGATTTTAAATGCACGGCTGGAAATGACAAAGCTGCCTAGCAGGACCACTGCTCTGGTCTGTAATGAGAATTACCATGTTTATCAAGTTCCTTGATTTTCTTCCAGTTATCCTGAAGTGTAGTTAGTTCATTCCCAGTGACAAGTGGTTCATTATAAATGAAGAAAATCTTGGCTTCCAAGACTGCCTTTGTAAGTAGTGAGCACTTGAGTATCATGTTTCAAATGGAAGGCTCCAAGGCATCTAATGAAAGTTCTGTGCTTTGACTGTTTTGTTGTTTTTTTTTTCTTTCTGAAGAGTGGCAGAAGGGAGCCATAGTACTCCACCCATTTGCTTGCAGATAGTCTCTCTATAAAGCAGGGAGAAAAAAATGGGCTTCTTTTTTAACCTAGTTATGAGATCATCTGGGAAGACAGCAGCCATCACAGCGGAATGATATCAACCTAGACTTTCTGTGTGAACAAACAGTTAATAGCTGAACTTTCCTTATGGCTTGCAAAGTTCAGCTACAGAGGAATATCAAATATCCAGACCCTGAGGAAAAGCTGAGAAAGGGAGGAGTATTCTAGGGAAAAATAGAAAAATCATTCTCAAGCCTGACATTAGAACTGTCTTGTTCAGCAGCTGTATTAGGGCAAAGCAAATTTAAACCAGCTTTTCTACATTATTAGCACATTATTTATCCTCAAACCATGCTAGTTTGTGACAGGTTGGAAATAAAGACAAGGAGATACTTCCTCATACAACATGCAGTTAAGCTGTGGAACTCCTGGATGCAGAACATCATGGCTACAAAATTCTATATGTATTCAAGGGAAGACTGTCAAACTGTGGAAGAGAAATTAACTCTTCTGCTCTAAAGTTCATCAGGTACAACTGGTTGTAAGTTAAGAAACTGTGAGGGAGCAGGGGCATACATGGTTGCCCTGTTCCTATCCCTATCCTCCACCCTAGGCAACCACATTTAGTGTCAGAATCAGGATTTTAGGACAAGCAGGCCTTTGGTCAGGTCAGGAAGGTATTTTTATATTCTCATCATAGTAGTTTTTTTTATTTTGGCACCTTCTAACTTACCCACAGATATGTAAAATAGTAACTCCTCCTCAGATTTAGTGCTAATTGAGCAAAAATGAAACCAATACTTTGAAGGTAACTTTTTATATCAAAGTTAATGTTTAAATGTGCACATTTCTGCTATACCAATAAGCTAGACTGGTGCTAACAATTGGTGTTCCTCTACAAAATCTTGTTCCTGGAGTGATTTTCCAGCTCTGCTTTCAAAACTTTCAGATATCTTTTCAAATGACCACATACATCTCACAGTTCAGATCTGTGAGTCACTGTAACCTCCAGATGTCTTGAGAAAGTCCACACGTCTTCTCCAAAACCCGAGTTAGCTACTTTAAAGCCAGGAGCAGTTTCCTTTTATTGTAAAATGTAGTGTATATATATATGTATATATATATATATATATATATGTATATATATATATCCTAGTAAGTGGACTCCAGCTCAAAGTTGGTGTTCTATTCTGGCAAAGGTGAACAGTGTCAAAACTGTGATAAAACAAATCCACCCTCTGAACTTGGCATCAGAAGCAACAAGCTGAGGTTGAACTGTAGTGCATACTCAACTAAAAAATGATAAATATTACTTATTATAGACAACATATATGTCTATAAGCATCTATAGGATAAAGATGACTCAAAAATCATAGGAGTCACTGGTCCATTTTACAGCTTTGAAAGCAACATTCCCACTTCTTTTTCCATATGCCCCTACTTTTCATGCTAGATCCTCAGCTAGCCTGTTGCCAGGCTGTTTCACTGGAGAGCACCACTTCTATTATTCTAAACTAAAATGAAGGAAAGTGGTTATGTTTGCCCTGGCCTACACTGTCATTGCAATGTAAACCAGAGAGCTTAACCACATACAAATCCTTGAATTGCTTGGCTTTTAAAGTTTAATCATAGACCCTTTATTTTTTCACTGCTGAGGTTTCCATGTAATTGGAATGAAGGATGTTGGAACTGAGCACAGGTTTCCCAGTGGCAGCTGCCAGTAGTTGGATAATGCCATTGGCACCAGTGCTGCCAAAAGAGAAAAATGGTCTTTTCAGTAATGTTTTGAGTTCAGAATCAAGAGTTCTGGGTTCAGTTTCTGGCTCTGCCTCAGACTTCTAACAATGTTACATTTTTCTGCATGTTTCACAACTACGGATGGGAATAATACTGCTTTTTGTCTTTCCCATTTAAAGTATTAGCTCTTGGTGTGGTGCATCACCCCATCTAGGTGGGGTGTTCCACGTGTGACCATAAGGCACAGACAGCACAGTTCCTACAGCCTTCATGGGATGCTGAAAAAAGCATGTGATGAGTAACCTGACTTGTCCTTCCTACTTGGCCGAGCTTTGCTGCATGTATATATAACCAGGAGATTCCTCTACACCAGCAACATTCTCCTTTCCTCATTTGTGTGTCTATCCTAGAAGACCTCGGTTCCCTGGGATAGCAGTTAGCAAAGTGCCATTTTTCATGCAGGCAGATTCATAGTTCTCAGCTGGTGGGTAATGGAGAACCACTGGTAGCTTTCAAGGCTTTTAATCTTAAGTCTGCTAAAACCACATTTTGGCCATTACATGAAAGAGCACAGTTGGTCACGTTTCCCAAGGGTTCCTAAGTCTCATGAGTGTAGTCTGTCTATCCATCTCTACTTGGATCCCAGCTCTTGAATGCATTGAGGGTTTTCAATCATGTTCTACCTTCAACTATATAGCTATAGAAAAGAGAAGCAGAAATGCAATATTTAACTGCACTCTTTTGGAATAAATAAAACCAGGATGCTCTACCAAGTGGAATGACTCAGACTGCTGTCCATTGAGGGAAAAACAGGTAAAACTCAACTGGTTTCATCTTCCAGTAGGTAGCTCAGCATGGATGCTGGCTGAATTATCTGCATCCATCTTGCTAGAAACAATTGGAAGAGTCAGAGGCAATATGGGGAATATCTGAGGCATTTCTATTTTTGAGCAGATGGTAGAATTCTGTTCTGCTGATGTCAGCTCTAAAATGGCATGATTATACTTAGAAGATATTAAGATAACTGTGTATATTTCCAAAGTGTATTTTCAAATCTCTCTTTCTTGTTTTAGAAAAAAATAAAATAAAATGGAGCACATGTTACTGCTGTTCATATTTTTCATACCTATATTGGGTCTCAGTAATGGAACAGAAACTGAACAAGATTTTACTTGGCATTTAAAGAAGATTCCCCAGATTGTGAGAGAAAGAACATTCTCCCTTGACAGCCCTAAATTTGAAGCAAAAGCCAAATTAGAGCTGAACAGCGTATGTGGAATTGAATGTCAAAGAAAATTGCCAGTGCCAAGCTTGTCTGACTTGAAAAGCCTCTTATCCTATGAGACTGTTTTTGAAAATGGCACACGGACCCTGACTGAAGTGAATGTCCTGGGAGCAGCGCTTGACCCAGCTGCGAACACAACCACACGAAGGCCGCTGAGAAAGAAGAGGCAGATATATGGAACAGACAGTAGGTTCAGCATCTATGACAAGAGGTTTATGACCAACTTTCCGTTCAACACAGCTGTGAAGATCTCCACGGGCTGCAGTGGCATTCTGGTTTCCCCCAAGCACGTGCTAACAGCAGCCCACTGTCTGCACAACGGCAAGGATTATGTTAAGGGCAGCAAAAGGCTGAGGGTGGGCCTGATGAAGACAAAATCCAGAGGCAGCGGCAGGAAACGCAAAGGCGCTAAAAGAAGTAGGAGAGAAATTTCTGCGGCCAAAGAGGATCCCAAAGCTGCCACAGAATTAAGGCGACAATCCAAAGGTGATGAGAGAAAGCAGAGGAGATCTGGGAGGAGGCAAGGGACCTCAGATGGCACACCCTCCTTCCAGTGGACACGGGTGAAGAGTACGCACATCCCGAAAGGCTGGTTTAAGGGTGTCTCTGGGGATATTGCCCTGGATTATGATTATGCTGTTCTTGAGCTCAAGCGTCCCCACAAAAGGAAATACATGGAGCTGGGAATCAGCCCAACAATCAAAATGATGCCTGGGAGCATGATCCACTTCTCAGGTTTTGACAATGATCGGTCTGGGCAGCTGGTCTATAGATTTTGTAGCATTTCTGATGAGTCCAATGATCTGTTTTATCAGTACTGTGATGCTGAGCCTGGCTCCACAGGATCTGGCATCTATCTCCGTCTGAAGGAGCCGAACAAAAAGAAGTGGAAACGCAAGATCATCGCTGTTTACTCAGGCCATCAGTGGGTGGACATCAATGGTGAACAGCAGGATTACAATGTAGCAGTACGAATTACTCCTCTCAAATATGCCCAGATTTGCTTCTGGATACATGGGAATGATGAGAATTGCACACAAGGCTGAAGAGAGCCGAGCCTCACTAGCTTAGCACCCTTACCGTCATAGAGTGAAAGACAACAGAGACTGGAAGAACATCACTCCACACCAGAATGTTTTTGAACTCTGAGCTTGCAAGTAGTGCTATGGTGACTTAAGGAATACTGAATTGCTAGGGGAGGGGTAGAATTGTCAGACAAAATATTTCTAATTGTAATCGACCTAGATACGCACTTAAAATCCCAAACTATATTTATGTTTGCAGTTGTGATAAATCCAACTCATTAATGAGAAAAAAACATGGCTGCACCTATTTGTAATATTTTTTTCCAGGGGAAGGGTTGAAACATCTCAAACTGGTGTTACTAAACAATATCTATTTTTTTTCCAATGGAATTGCTTTTCTCAGGGTTCTGTTCCACTTCCTCAAATGCAAGTTGTGCATATAGCATGTCACTGTATGTGCAGAATGATCCAGAGAACTGCATGAGAACAAGACATTATTCTGGCATTCTCTAAAGACCACAGGTCCATGTTGAGAAGCAGCACTATAGCTAATGATTGATAGTTTGGAGAACTGCCTCTTCTGGTTGCTGCAGGAACACTCCCATGGAAATTCCAAATTTATGTAGCTGGGGGTTACACCTTAAAGACAAATTCACTTCATTGCTCAGTGAAAACAGCAAAAAAATATATTAATGAACAAAGTTTCCATGTTTGGAAGAAGACACATCTGGACATCGCTTAATGCCTTTTAACATTCTTTGAGAAGCTATAGAAATCTTAAACACACGTCTTTGCCTTCCAATTAATATTTGGAGAGCTGTAGGTTTAGTTTCTAGTCAAATGTTTAGCTTTACCATTGGGGGAAGTCACTGACTCCTGAAGTGGCTACTTGACAATCATTTGGAGCTTCACAGATGATTTATTTTTTGGGTGCTATACATTTCTTCAGTTTTTATAAATTACTTTTATATTAGTTCAGTTTCATAGACAGGATAGTATGTATTAGACTGGGAGTTGGAAATCAATATTTTAGTTTGGCTTTACAGTTTTGCAAAGTGTGTGGTTTTAATCATGTTATATTCAGACTCCACCTCAACATGATTCACAAGTTTAACTAAAAATTTCTCCCAACTAAATTACAGCACCTTCTGAATGGTAGAACTATCCTGTGCATTATAAAAGGTATCTTGTTAGATAGCAGCAGTAGTTAGCAAATAATTTGGTTCAGTATGTTTGCAGAACCACGTATTTAATGAAGACACAAACTGAGCTTGACTTTTACACATCTTTAAACACAAACCACCTTCTTAAAAACTGTTGTTGATTGCTATGTAAGTCTATATATTTTATTTTATGTCAAGATTTTGAAGTACACAGAATTGTTATGGTGCTATGTTAATCTAATAACATAAAAAGATACTGTGCCTTTCTGATCATATCCTTTGGGTTTCAATACTTTCAGAGTATTCACCACCGTAATATTTAATTATTTTTTTCTACCATAAATTTATGCTGACCAAAATGCATTTTCTTCCTGTGCAGGAGAAAAAAATATAACAAGATTTTAAAATATTATTTGTTTGTTGGAATCTTTAAATCATGCTTGTAATATCTTCTGGTGAAATAAGATGATTTTAACTGATTTTTTTGGTAGATGGCTGAAAGTATATAACCTGACACACTGAATGTGCAGGCAGCTCTGTCCTACTATTGCCAAAGCATAAAAATTTAAGACTTGCTTCCATATCATAACCCTAACAATATTTAATTAATTGGAAGAGATCTCACTTTAAAGGAAACTATTTCTTTTAATGTCAACTTTTCCAGGGAACGCTCAACTTTTCTTCCTTTATTATGTTTTGTTTTTATTTTGTGTGATTGTTTGCAGAAAACTAATAATAATTTTTGAAGTTTAGAAATAAATCTCTAAGACTTTAGGGTCAATTATTTTTTATTGTTGTTAACATCTCTATTAACACATGTGGCTTTGCTGACAGTAATTTTAAATCACCTCGGTCCGGTATTTAATGCTCTCGCTCTATGCAAGAGATTTATAGTATTCTTTAGTCAGGTCTGTAATGTTTTTCTTAAATGCCTTTTTCCATAGTTACTGTGACAATTAAGGTGCTACATCATTAATCTAATACAAGACAACCCAGGTCCATAGATTTTTTTACAATTATTGTCATTGTTGATTTGGGTCCAAAACTGGTCAAGATAAGGGGGCTTAGTAAATACCTTATTATTTTGAGTCTTATTTAGGTGTGCACCTCAGAAGAAGAAATAAAATCTATTTCTTTATCCCTTTGGGAATTGGGAGCAAGGTAAGAATAAAAAATGTTTGATGTCAGCTTCCAAATTGTCTTGTTATAATAATCATCTGTTGTAAATATCTCAGCCGCTACCTGAAGTTCCCGTACCAGGGTGATAAAAACTCTTTCTTTTCAGAGAATTAATACTAGATGCTCAGTGCTTCATTTGGTGGTACTAAGAGATTAAAAAGGTTGGCCAGAGCAACATAAATATTAATTTAAAACAAATAAACCAACCTCTGTGTCTCAGTGCCCATGCACAAACACATGCAAATATACGGGCTTGGAGAACATGTTGTTTTGATTGAGTTTTGGTGTTGTCAGCATCTTCAGGCCAGGGAATGCAGGTAGAAGAAGACAGAGACAAAATGTTTCTCCTGTTGTCTCAGCATGCTAGGCAACATTTTGGTTTTCCACTTGGCCTAATAGAGAAAAAAATGCTTTATGTAGGCAATTGTGACTACCTACTACAGGTACTTCAGGAACAGTTCATAAATCAAGTTCTTGCACACAATCCCAGGAATTTAATGTCCTGCATAGAGCTCTCGGTACTCACCACTGCAAATGGGACAAGAATTTCTGAGCCATCTCAGATTTTCTTAAAAACCTGCAGTTACACAAGAATTTCTGAGCCATCTCAGATTTTCTCAAAAACCTGCAGTTACTATCTGCTTACCAATAGAAAATACAAGGAGGAAAACATGATCTCAGTAGATCAGATCTTGCTGTTGTCTAGGACACCAGCAGCAAGGCTGGGTTTCCAGCCCTTGTGATGTTTCCCTAAAGGATTTTTCCTCTCTCAGGTACCAGGCTGTACATCATTTCTTTCCATCACTACTAATTATTTTCCATAAAAGTTGGTATAGTAGATTGTTTTATTTAACTGTATTCCTGGCTTTTGGAAAAAACAACCTCAGCCAAATCTCTTTTCTCCTAGAGGGCTACTGGAATAAAGTAAATCATATAAAGTCTTATAAAGTCAACAAGTGAGTTTTTTTCAGGGCCAAAGATAAACCTCATATGCAAGCCATTAACATGCCCAGACTAGCTTCTGCAAGGTGTCTGTGCATGTCTTTAATCTGAGGCTCTGGGACACACCATGGAAATCAAGGGGGATATCTGCAATGTGAAAAATTAAGTCTAAGTTTGTATCAACTTAACAAAAAAAGGCCAAAATATTATAATAGGAAAGTGATTTCTGTTACATGAAGTATAGAGTACCCAATGCTTTAATAATTGCTTAAAGAATTCCTTGACTCCTTAAGATTTACCATCTTAATTTTTCAGATTTATGTGTCTATATGGAGTATGAATCAGCATGAATATGGCTTAAATAAAAAAAAATAATTCGTCCACATGTGGAGGAGAGAAGCAGATGGGGAGTTCTTTCTATTCTGCTGATAAGGAATGACCTGGCAGCAAACAGCAAATAAAACAGAAAGAAAAAACAAGTAGATGGTATGTAAGACCAGGAAGATGGAGATAGTATGCAAGGGATAAAGAAAGTGTGTGAAGTAACAGATGAAATGGCTGCAAGGTAGCAGAGGCAACTTTTGTGAGACAGAGTAGGCAGATGGGAGACACTTAATAGTATGAATTAAGATGTGAAATTCACAAGTTTCATGAACAATTTTTCACTGTTAAAGATAATCCTTTTCTTCCCAGCCAACAGCAACAAGGAAAGGGCTGTGAGAGGACTCAGGCTGTGGCAGGGACTGCTACCAGGCAGGGGTTTTGACCCTGATCTATAGTCCTTGCCTGAATTTGTAGGGATTGTGCTTCTGTTCATTCAGGGTCCTTGGAAAACAGCAGATCTGTGTTCTGACCAAAAGACTTGGTAGTATCAACCTCCCAGTACACTGGATCACTAAGAGTGTAGTGAGTAAGGGGAGTTTCTCAAACCTGACCTTTGCTGGGATTCCTGTAAAGGCTCTTCTCCACTGGAAAAAAAAAAAAAATCAAACAAAAAATCTCAGACTTAAGGCATTTAAATGTTGGCTCCATTTTTTGCATGTATCTAGAAATTCTAGGCAATACATTTTTTTTCAGGTGTCTTCTGTTTGTGTTTGGCACCCATAGAAATTTAATCAACTGCTTCTAATTTTAAAGCACAGATTATTGCAGATAGTTCCATCTACAAATTCCTGGATTAAAGAATGAATGGGAAAAAAAAAAAAAAGAATGTTATTAAATTGAAAGCTTAAAATTTCACTCTAATCTCAATGGATTTAGAAGTATATTTGGGTCCCCTTTGCACCAGCCTTTTGCTCTGAGTGTTAGAGCATCTAGGTTAAAAAAAAACTCCAGAAGAAGCTTTGAGGATTCTTTCATGTTCTTAGCTTTTTTAAGACTGACAGAAAACTGTATATTTTTAAATGGGCAAAATGACAAGCCATTTGAGAAAATAAATGCAAACCTTTGCTCTGATATTATATGATGCACTTATTATGTCAATAAATATTTTCTGCTGTTTTTCTTTTCCTCTGTCATTATGCAGTTTGTTAGCTATGGTTGTGTTACACAAGCTTCATTCTCTAAGTGCCTGTAATGATTTATCAGTGAATCATCTGGGACATGGTCTTACAAGATATTAATGTCTTTTCAAACTTGTTCTGGGAAAGAAATCTCCCTGTCTTCAAGATAATTACTCCATGAGCAAATTTGATGAGTAAAAAATTTAGCTCAGCAAGGAAATGACTCACAGCCTATGCCAGAAGTTATTAATTCTAAAATAAGTAATTAGTTCTGTTTATGCTATTTGCTATAGTTACACTTTCTGCCTTGGAGAGCTCTTGAACTAGGCCAAATTATAAGTATGAAAAATATTATAATCTTAGTTTTTAGAATTATCTTAACTCTGTGCCCTTGAAACTGGTGCGGATTTTATCTCTTGAGGGTAAAAGGAAAGTTTTTTGGCTAGGTCAAGAGCTGCTGGAAATATTTAATGGAAAGTTAAGAAATCATTACAGCTGTGATTAACAGTGTGTCTATTACAAGCAATATTTACCAGGGGTCTGGCTAGGGCTTATCCACCAGCTCTTATATGGGTCATCACATGGGGGAAAAGTAAATACCACAGGGAAATAAAAAGGATTGAAAGCTTTTTGACCTGTAAAAAAGTCCTTTTGGGGCTAGTAACAGGATCTAAGTGTTTGCATTGCTGAAATCTACTTTTTGCAATGATCTGGGAGAATGTCCTGGTGCCTGAGAAATGTTTCTCAGTCTCCATACAGGGAGCACAAACAGAGACCCAGAGGTGACAGCTGTGTCCTCTGCAGACCATTCCCAAGCCACTGGTACGGATGTGGTTTCTTTGGTGGAGGATATATTCCAACACATGTTGTGGATTGCACACTCCCATGGGTCTTGGGGGGCTTGAACTGGAATCTTATCCAAATGTCTACTCAGCCCTAAAATGTTCCCATACAACCCAGATCCTTGTGCAGGTATTTTTCCAGTTGAACTCCCATTTCCCGTAGTATTTAATAGATGTTCAAAAGGCCTTCCCCAAATATCAGACACACAAAACCTCCAAAGTGGCACCTTCTGCTGTTTATTATGCAGGTATTCCTGACGAATCATTCATTCCTTCTGCTTCAAATACGTCTTTAGATCTTGATAATGGCTAATTCTTCAGTTGTTATTGCTAAGAAAAGGAATCAGATGTACTGGAAAAGCCACACAAATATTTACTTGGGGTTCTTGGTAATTATGTACATACCATACTTTTTGCAGTTGCTACGGCTCTACTGCTTTTCCATGTGAAAGAGTTTGAAAACTTTGGATGAAACCATATTGGGCTGGTTTTCAGACAAATTACTCAGCTGCCCTTTGGCTACAGTTGTAGCATTCTCCCACTCCTCCCCTCCAGTTTAATTTCCAAATTTATGGATGAAATGTTGTTTAAAGCTTTGCTTAATCTAGGATGAAAGCAGCCAGGAGACAGCACACAGCAGTGGACCCTCTCTGTATCTTTCTCTGGACATTTTGAAGCAGGGAGAAGAAGAGGACAAGAGAAGGCAAAGGTGGAGCCCATGAACAACAGCAAAAAAGCTCAGTGCCTTACTGAGTGGAAGAAAATGTGATTTCTATTTTTTCCTACTGTCAAAGGCAACACTATTTCATGTATTTACAATTAGTTTGTGTTTTCTTGAATGATTCATCAGCTAAATATTTTTGGCTCCGTACAGGAATGAACCAAATGGTAGTGGGGATAGAACATGGCCTTGAACAACAGCAGGGGCTTCCCCTCCTCAAAACACACACACTGAAACAGAATGCTAAACTACCCCAAAGGGAATTACTAGTAATAATAAGTGGGGGAAAAGTCACCTCTAAGAAAAACACCAATGGGACATTTGGGGAAAAAGTATATGCATAAAGGCAATGGAGACTTTATAGGTACGTGTGGCATATGGTTTTTTCTGCCATGGTTGTCTGTGCAGGACACTGATGCATTCCAGAACTGTGGTGAGTTACATGTGCAAAGAAAACCCCTCTGCTGGTTGTTTATCCCACCACCACCCCTACAACATAGACCTACTGTGCTACCAAACCCTCGCTGCTTGTTGTGAGTTTGAGCTCAGACCTGGCCTTCATAAACGGTGGATGTGACCAGAGGCTTCCAAGGATGTGGCCACTGACATTTTAGGTTTTATACATTTTCCTCTGCATCTACTAGGAGGATGTATGAAGCCATTTTTAGTAACAGTGGTTTGAAACAAAGCTCTTGTGAACAAATGCTGCATCACATTCTCCTCTCATTTACAACACTTGGTCTTGAAGGGAAATTTGACCCATCACATAGTATATATATTTACTTGTAGAAAGTTATACACTAGCCGTTTGTGACCTCTAAATTTCTTTCAGAAAGAAATAAAAGGGAAGCCAATACTCAAAAGGGAAAGCAGCTTCGTCAGTGTTCAATTTACTGCTCAATTTACTTCCTTGCTTGCCAATTAACCTGGTACAACAGGGATCTGTGATCCAATAATGCTGCTCATTCGATTGATGTGCGTGCATCCTTCAGTTCTTGAAACTGATTTTCCTTACCAGTTCACACTAGATAAAATCAGGCATCTGTGTGAAAACAGTGTTCACAAGTTTATAAAAAACCCACAAAAACAGCTGCCATTAATTGTATTTCATTATTTCATATCAGCTTCCAACTCCATTTAATTCTTTCCTGCCTATCTTGGATTCTTTCTAAGTGAGACAGAATTCCATGTTTAATTTTTTTTTAACTGTGCTCATTTTGGATTGTCACCTCATTTTCTACTCTAACACCAAACACCTAAAATTAAAATAAATGAAATAATGCCCAAGCATTGCTGTGTAACAAGGAGCTTGGGTTACTGTTTAAGAGAAGCCACTTCAAGTTGCTATTAAAGTAACAGCTGCAAGCAGAGAATGAAAGGCAAAATCACTGAAAGCAAACCAGTGTTCATAGCTCTAAGACAACACATCAAATCTGGAGCTAGCCCTGGGAAATGCTTTTGTAAGCCTTGAATCAACGTAAACACAGGCTGCCAGCTGAAGGAACAATCTTGTGACATCCTTACAAAACAGCTCTGGGAAGCCCTGACAGCTCATCCTGCCACAGATGCTGATGGAGAGAGAAGCCACGGGCTCTGGACCCCAGCAGCAATCACAGGGTTTAATCTCTTAGGCACATCCTACTCTCCAGAGGAAACTGTATAAATTTCACAGCAAAAATAGCAATGATTTGAGGCTATTAATCAAGTTATACTAACTGGGCTGCAAATGGCTCCGATCACAAGATCCACTGTAATGACAGTTTCCAATAAAAGGCAAATGATCCCTGACAGGGAGATCTGCCTGTGTGGGATCCACATCTGCTCAACACCTGCAGAAATCTGGCAGAAGCTTTGCCAGTAGCTGGCTGTGGGTGATGTTTATTACGCCAGTTATTTGAGCCTACTGCTAAGGTAGTGTCTTGTTGCAGCAGCACAGCCTTCTAGGGCTAATCCAAGGACAAAGCCTGGAAAAGGGCAGTTACAGATGTTTCAGATGGGTCTTGCAGCATTTCTTTGCATACCATTTGTGGAAGAGAACATCACAACTCTACAGAAAGGGCAGAATCTTCATACTCCACTATGTACAATGCACCTGCCTTCCCTCCCCTTCTCCCCAGCACAATTAAACAGCACAAATTAAAAGCACTGAAAGTACTGGAAAGAACTTAGGAAATGCCATGCTTCATCATATCCCTATTCCAAGCCCTTTCTTTAACACTCAAGGTGGAGCCAGGGCTGTAAGCACAGCCTGCTTGCCAAAGCCAGGCTGGCCCTCCTGTGCTCATCCCTTGCCACAGCTGTCAGAGCCCACAGACAGAGCCAAAATTACACAGCCCTGGGACAGAGGGGTGCAACCACACACTTTTCAAGGCCACAATGTAATTTTCTTTTTTAATTTGGCAAACACTAGGTTCCCAGGTAAGTATTTTTAGACACATAAGAATTCAAATTTCTAGATCCAGAAGCCAGCTCCCTCTTCGTAATTTGAAAGCAAAATTTTTGTAAATTTTTAGGCTCGTCTGGTAGCATCACTGTGGAACCAGCTCCTGGTAGAAACATGATAAAGATAGAGCTCAGAGATACAAGACTAGTGGGAAACAAAGATACCTATGGAGCAGATAATAGCTAAAATAATTGCTAAAATAAAATAACCGCCATTCTTAAAATGATTTGACAGGATTTTTTTTTCTACTACCTATTGACTCCGTGCATGGAGAAAAATTGGTTTGTTTTATTTTGTTTTGTTTTTATTCTAGTGAGATTCCAATATTGTTTCTTAGCAGAGAGCTTTTAAGGCAGCTCCACCAATTACATTATTAGGATTTCAGCAGATACTGTTACATGCCCTGGGGCAATCCAAAGTCAGTAGGGATGGTGATGGTTGATGGTGATCAACCTACTGATGAGACTGGATTTTGGGAAAAAAAAAAACAAATCCAAAACCAAAACAAACAAAAAACATTCCAGATATTATGGCCATTATTACCCACAAAACTTTGTATGAGAGGAGAGCAGTTTGGACTTGTGTCCTGCCTCTCACTACTGTTCCTTCCATATTCACAGCTGGGGTGGTTTGAAATAGCTTGGTTTTTGGTAAGGATAGTTCTTTTCCTTGCACAGGTTTCTTTCCCTTGCTACCTGTGTCACATACACATGCCATGAATGAGTGTAACTAGCAAGGGAGAGAAACCTGTGCTCTCAACCTGTTAATGCTACCACCATCCTTATCTGAGGCATCTAAAACATGCTGGGTCCTGTCTCTTCCCTCACCTCCCTCATCATTCTCCAGAGACCTGCAGCTGCTTCTTGTTTCTGTCCCTTTTGCCAGGTGCATGAGCAAGCCATGTGCTGGAGAGACAGAGTCTGAGGTCCTGCATTTGAGGGTCTGAGGAGGATGGATAGTCCCATCTCCTCCAGAGCCCCTCTGCCCTACCCTC